GTCTTTTGGCGAGGGGTGGCTTGTTAGTTTGTTAGGGGGTGGTTGGGTGGAAGGGAGGGATAAATCCTTGTTAATCAAAGAAACAAAAGACCTGTCACTCTTCATTACCACCCCTTGCTCACTTTCTTCACCCATCCTCAATGCATTCGTTGAGTCAATCCCCCCCCCCGCCCACAGATCCAAATATGGCTGACACAAATAGTAGCTTTCATGGCTTCAGGATGCAGAAACCAAGACCCCAATTTGCCCAGCATTCTCAGATGCCTTTGAACGTCTGACCTGAGATTGAGACTCACCTGGATGAACAGCCTTGTCAAACATGGGAGGCAGGGAAGGTGGGGGGAAGGAAGGTGCCTTAATGGTTGGCGCAGGAGGGATATCCAAGGACACCCTATCAAAAAGAAATACAGTAGGGTCCCAAAAGCAGAAATTTCTGGGAATACAAGGGAGGTTGTTGGGGATAGGAGGCAATGAGGAAGTCACTTACCCTTCTGGAGAGTTCTCTTGAGAATAGCTCATATCCCTCTCAGGGATAATAGGATAATCAGAGGAGGACTGAGAAGGACAATTTACTTCCTCCATTTCACCAATGAGATCCAAGACAAAGTCACAGCCTGCCAAGTCCTGCCATTGGTTGCCTGTGAGCATTGATATGGACCAACCACGAGGGACTGTATCGAGACCCCTGAGATCAACAAAGTGAGGAGACATAGTGTCACAGGAGGTAGCAGAGGAAAAGGACCAGGAAGATGGTATGAGATGGGGACAGGAAGGAAAAGCATATGTCATTCCACCAGCTTCTGCATGATTACTTATGTGCTGGTTAAATGTCTCACATAGACAATGTGCATAAGAATATAATAAAATGCCCCAGAAGAGCCAACAGATTTCAGGTTTCCTCTAGGGCATTATTGCTCCATGGTGTTGAGATAGAGTCGGGCTTTATAGCCCTGCAAATTAACAAATAAACCAAAAGAATATAAAATCCCTCACTGCAGAGGAGTCACCGTTGAATCCCTAATACGGGTCACTAAATGCACAGGATTGTTACAAGACTAAATGAAACAAACTTCATCATTTTCCTCCAAAGTTCTGCCTTTCCTAAGCCTTTGAACTGGGACTTGCAGGACTACCTTGCAAGGCTAAGAAGTAATAAAATACAGTCTCGTAGACCATTTGGATGAGTCTTTAAAGGAACAGGAGATCCTGTTCTAACAAAGAATTCAGCCCAGGCAGGTGCGTACCCCTACTCCTCACATCATTCTGCAGCCTGCTTATTCTCAACAAACCAAGAGAGGCCGTAGTCTTCACTGACTGAGGGATGTAAGAGCTACCTTTCTATGACCAAAGCCAGATACTAAGCTCCATCCTGTATGGACACAGGAGCATGGCCAGAAATTGCTTCCTGCGTAATGGTTTACCTGACTGACTACACCCAGGTAGCTAAACTAATACTGAGCAGCAGCTCTGAACACTTGGCTCTTGGAAGGGGCACTATTTTTTCTATGTTGCTGATTCATGCTGCTGCCCTCAAAGAGTTAGAGTTCTGGTGGATATCTAAAAAAGAACCTAACTCAGTTTTTTAAAAAAAGAGGCAAATCCCAATTTCTTTTGCCTTTAGATTACCTTGAGCTCAAGATCCAGCCTGCATATTGCTCTCCTGTGGTCCAAGACTCTACCTCTGCTGAAATTCTCTCCTCTAAACCAGAGAAAGAGAAAGACAGAGTTTAAAGAGAATGATGAATATGTAGGGAATAGGAATATGTAGGGAATAGGAAACACTGACAGGGCAAGCTACTGTATAGAAACAGAGAGCAAACCCCCCTCCCTCCTGTGACTGAAGAGGTTACCTAGTCAGATAACGAAACGTCTGCAAGAAAACAGCCAAGCTCAGAGAACCCCAAGAACTCCACAGTTCAACCCTGAGCTACGTATAGTCTCTTCTACTGGTAATTATGAATATGACCTATAGGAAAATCTTGCTATATAGTGTGTGCCAGCCAGCCATGCTTCTTTCCTGTTCCCCCCACCCCCAGGAATATATTGTTCTGTATATATTTTTAATTCTGCAAAGTTGGATTCTTCTGGACACCTCTCTTGGGGGTGTGCAGGGTGCCATTCTGATAACTGAAATGACTTTGCCAAAAGTGAAGGGGCATGCCAGTTGCAGTGTGAGCAGTTCTCCATAGGGACAATGTTAGACTGACAGCTTGATGTTATAGATTTATTCAGAAATACTGTAAGCTCTACTTAGGAGCTTGCACACCACCATTGTTTTTACTCCCTAAATCCTCAGAAACAATTTAAAAACAACCTGTGGTTGTATTCAGTGCTGCCAGCTTCAAAATGCAGAGAATACCCCATTAGTGAATTGATCAGTAGGAAGACCCTCCTATTGATTAGCCCTCCCATGGATCAATACGAAGGCACAAAAAGGACATTCAACTAATGCCCTGCTCCCTTTCACAGTCTTAGTTCACGTTGTGTCCTATGTTTGGCAGTTTGTAAAACAGGCAGAGCAGTAGCTGGGAGAGAGGAACAGCAAAGCCACCAGGGCACCATCTTTCTGTTTGGTGTAAAAGATCTGTGAAATGCTAGCTTGACACTCTGGTAACTGAACCTGTACAGCAGAAGGGAAGTGAGCCTTGGAACTGAGAAGAGGCAAAAGATCCCATCAATGGGAAAATACCCACAAAAGGGTCACATCACCCTGGGCACAGAGAGAACTGCTCCTGCCTGTGCTCCTGCACTCTGAAGATGCCG